GGATATTACTAACCCATACTGAGAAAAAACATTTGTGAGTACATCACAAAGTGCCAAGAATGTCAATAGTTTGACCCCTTACATTGGGTGTCACTTGAGAAGTTGCACACTATAACCGCTCCCTGGATAATTGTTACATGGGGGAAGAGATACTCGGTCACTTTCCACTAGCAAAGGGAAAAGTCAAGTTTCTTATCATGGTTAGAGACTATTTCGCTAAGTGGATATAGGCAGAATCACTGGCCACCATCTTGATCAAAACTTCAAAAGTATTTTTGAGAAAACATCATATACTAACATGGGCTGCTACACTCCATAGTCACCAAAAGTGATAGACAATTCATCGACAATGACTTCGAATAGTCCTTGAGCCAACTCGACATAAAGCACCAAATCTCGCCAGTTAGGCATCCCTATGCCAATGAGCAAGTCGAGGTCACCAACAATGTCATCCTCACTGAGTTGAAGAAAAAGCTCGAGAGGGCTAAAGGGCTTTGGGCCAAGGAGATACTAACCATACTATGGGGTTACCATTACACTCCTAGTCACCAACGAAAGAAACGCCCTTCAGGCTAGCGTATGACACTAACCATGATACTAGTAAAGCTCGACAAAAATTCTTGGCGTTGACAACATTTTGAGAAAATGCACAACAAGAAAAACCTTCAAGCTGAGAAACATTAGCAAAGCTCTTAAATAAGACACCAAGTTACTCAGATAGTAACATAAGCAAAGCCCTCAAACGAGGCACCAAGTTACTGAGACAATAACATAAGCAAAACCTTCAAACGAGACACTGAATTACTTAAAAATAACATAAATAAAGCTTTCAAACGAGGCATCGAGTTACATATGTAGTAAAGTCATTAAACAAGACACCAATTTACTTAGACAGTAACATAAAAAAGCCTTCAATCGAGGCATCGTGTTACTTAGACAGTAACATAAGCAAAGCCCTCAAATGACGCATCAAGTTACTTAAATAGTAATATAAGTAAATCTCGCAAATGAGGCACTGAGTTACTTAAACAATGAAATAAGCAAAACCCTCGAACGACACATAGAGTTACTTAGATAGTAACATAAATAAAGCCCTCAAATGGGACACTAAGTTACTTAGAAAGTAACATAAACAAAACCCTCAAATGAGGCACCAAATTACTTTTGTAACAACATAAGCAAAGCACTCAAATGAGGCACCGAGTTACTTAAATGGTAACATAAACAAAGGTGTCAAACAAATCACCGAGTTACTTAGACAACAACATAAGCAAAGCCCTCAAACAAAACACTAAGTTAGTTAAACAATAAAAAAAGTAAACCCCTCAAACGAGACATCGAGTTACTTAGGTAGTAACATAAATAAAGTCCTTAAATGAGACACGAAATTACAGTAACATAAGCAAAGCCCTCAAACGAGGCGTCAAGTTACTTATATAGTAACATAAGTAAAGCCCTCAAACGACACACTGAGTTACTTAGACAATAACATAAATAAAGCCCTCAAACGAGACACTAAGTTACCTAGACAGTAAGATAAACAAAACCCTCAAACGAGGCACCAAGTTACTTATATAATAACATAAGCAAAGCTCTTAAATGAGGCACTAAGTTACTTAGATAGTAACATAAGCAAAGGTCTCAAACGAGATACCGAGTTACTTAGACAATAACATAAGTAAAACCCTTAAACGAGACATCGAGTTATCGAGATGATAATATAAATGAAAGCTTTCAAACGAGGCACTGAGTTATCTAGATGGTAACATAAACAAATGCCTTCAAACGAGGCACAATCATTAGGTTACTTAAACATTAACACAACGAGCTTTCCCAGGTTGGCAGCACTAGTACAAAGTAGGCGTACAACGTCTAATGCTCAATGTCGGAACACCAAGCACCCAACTTTAAAAATGATCGATGACAATATTGTAAATAAAATCACACGATTGACGTCGGTTAGTTAGATGATCAAACGTTAATTGTCTTTTTGAAGTCTGTTAGTGAAAGAACAAACGTCTTTTAGTGTTCAAATTCATAAAAATCTAAGCGCAAAAATATTTTAAGAGACCCATTAGACTGCTGTTAGTCAGAGAAACAAACATTAATTGCCTTTTTGAAGTTTGTTGGTGAAAGAACAAACATTTTTTAATGTTCAAATTCATAAAAAATTAAGCGCGAAGATATTTTAAGAGACCCATTAAATGTTTGTTGGTCAGAGGAACAAACATTAATTGCCTTTTTGAAGCCTGTTGGTGAAAGAACAAATGTGTTTTAGTGTTCAAATTCAAAAAAAATTGAGTGCGAAGATATTTTAAGAGACCCATTAGACGTATGCTGGTAAGAGGAACGAACATTAATTACCTTTTTGAAGTCTGCTGGTGAAATAACAAATGTCTTTTACTGCTCAAATTCTAAAAAAAATTGAGCGGGAAGATATTTCAAGAGATCCATTAGACGTCTGTTGATAAGAGGAACAAACGTTAATTTGAGCGTGAAGATATTTTAAGAATGCGAGAAAGAACACTTGCTTCGCTATTTTTGTGTGCACTTTCTTCATTGCGGGTCGAACGTCTCTAGGGAAGCTTCTGGCGACCACTAGAGGTAATGTTTCTTCTACTTAACACAAATGTTCGTTGATTGCTAACTTTATATATGATTTCCTTTCATTTTAACCGATTAGTTTCGTGTATAGACACCATTTATAGCACTATTGAGTTCTCTTCGATGACCACCAAAGGTAATGTTTATTCCACTTAACACAATATCTATTGATTGATGACTTTATGTATGATTTCCTTTCATTTTAACCCATTAGTTTCGTGCATAGACACCATTTGGAGCAGCGTTGAATTCTCTTTTCTCCCTCATAGCAACACCTGTTACCGCTCACCTTCACGGTTAGTTTCATTTTTTATTTTTTGTGTATTGGTTGTTACATTTTCATTGGTTGTTTCACTTTTCGTTGGTTGTTACTACTTCCAAAATTTTGGAAATTTTTGTGGTGTATTCTTGTGTTGTATATTGATTTTTCATGGTTTTAGTGGAAGAAAATATTGATGAATTTTTCTTTTTAAAAAAGCCCATAAATTGACGTCAATTATAAATGCAACAGACATTAATTGACGTCGGACATAGAGCAATATCCGACGTCAATTTGCTCTATGTCTGACGTGAATTAACGTGAATTAACGTCGAATTTTTAAAATCTAACGTCAATTTAATGTCTCAGGATATGACGTCGACCTTGAATTCGACATGATAGGTCAAAAAACACCGACATTATACAGTACTTTTGTACTAGTGCAGCGTACACAAAGCTTGCATAAATCAACAACATAAAGGTTGCTCAAATAAGCGACATCGGATCTTACCCAAGTTAATAATTCAAAGCACTCAGGACAACATTCATGGTTAAAGATGACCATCCATAACTCGTTCAAATGGCCAGGCCAATTACAAAGTTAAAGATTTTAGTCTAGCTAAACAACCAATCCACCTACAAACATAAAGTTGGCTACAACTCAGCCAGAGGGTCAATTACACTACAACTAGTAATCAAACTTCTAAGCTTATGGGGACTTATGTACATAGTTGACCTAGTAAATATGTTAAGTGGCATGACACAATAAGGTCCATTCAACACTATTGACCTAAAGTGATTACATATATATTCTAAAATATATTTGTTGGCATAAATATTCATATATGTACATATCCGACCCAAATATGCTAAGTGGCATAGCCTAACAAGGACATTACTAAATCTCAACAGTTTTATTATATCCTTTAATAACCATTAATGTCTTTTAATATCATATATCTAATAAATGATATTGTATATTTAAATCACATAAATGACACAAGGCCAAGAGATCCTATAAATACACATTGGATTTCCTCATTTTTCAACCTTCATGAGCTTACGTAAGATTCTACAATCCAATCACATTTTGCCACCTGTCTAAATGCCACACTTTAGATTCTAGTAAGAATAATATATTAACAAAATATATGACCAAATCTCAATAATTTGATTGCGTTATACCATATATGTATATAATATTAGGTTAATCAGTTAAGATATCACATTATTATTATTATTATTATTATTTTATTGATTATGATATATATAATAAGCTATTATTTTTATTAATATTATTTAATATCATCTTGATATTATCTGTTTTTATTAAATAAGTCATAGATCCAAAAACTCAATAATTACACATAATATTTCATCAGAAAATAAACATAATTTTCTTATACTCATTACTCTATTTTCATAGATCTAAAGCTCATATACGGATTTAAACAAAATCTTTTGTAGATGGATATTTTTTCATTAAACAACGAAGATTTTGATTCTAATAATTATCAACAACATTCAAACTATGACTTATATCTTATCATCTCTAAAAATATCTACGCTATGAAGTATGTTAATAACAATATATATATATATATATATATATATATATATATATATATATATATATATATAAACAAAAAAATATATATGTAAACAACTTTCTTTTAATTACATAAATGTTTTGAAAAAATATTAAAAATTAAAAGAGTACGAGAAAGTTAGATACTAAAACTGAAAATATTATAAAATACAATGAACGAAATTATAAAAAAATAAAAAATTAATAAATTATTGAGTTAAAAAAAATAGAAGTAAAAAAAATAAGGAGAGTTAAAGGGATGCCTGGAATTGAATGAAGGGTAGGGTGTGAACGCGCAAAGACAGAGTCAAACTGGCTTCGGAGGAACGTTAAAGACAGCCACACCTGAAGGATGGCGTGGCCACGTGTCTTCTGCAGACAACAACCGGCGCGTGTCTTTCATTCATTGGCTCTCAGGCTAATCATGACTTAGCTGTCTTGCTTGCTGCCAAAATTCACCCCAAACTACCCCTTCTCACTGCCATTACACTTTTCAATTAATTTACCACTCAACACTCATATTCAACTTGGACTCCTCCTATATAAGCACACCCACTTTCAACCACAAATCCAAGAGTGACCGAGAGATTCTCACCAAACAAACATTTTCTTCCTCACTTCCCTTTTCTCCTTCAAAATTTCTGCGACTCTCACTTCTCTGATCCTCTCTCTCTCTACTCTCTCTCCCTCCCCCCTCTGTAACGCCCCGCTTCTCTGAATCCCTTTCTGTTAATCATCTGTCTTTCAGCGCGTGATTTTTTGGGTTTGCCTCTATTCTCTCACAGAACAAACTTCAAAGGATTTCTCCAAAGCCAGGTGTTTTCAGAATCGAGATCCAGGTTTTTTCTTTCAGTTTTTTACTTCAGAATCATTCTTTTCTTTTCTCAGCCACGAGGGTTGTTTTTGATCCCTCAAAGCTCTGTTTTTTTTCTTTCTTTTCTCTTCTGAATTTTCTTCGGATTATAGGGGTTGTCTATTATAAACCTCTTCCAAGCTTTTTGAATTTTCAAAATTTGGAGTACTGGAAAGAAAATTTTATCCAAGATTTGTGTGTAGTTGGTAATTTTGTATGGCAGCTACGATGGATTTGTACAACGGACAACCACAAGTTCAGTCGGATCCATTCAGAGGTGAGCTGATGGAAGTTCTAGAACCTTTTATGAAAAGTCCTTCCTCAACTCCCTCTTTATCTTCAGATTCAGCTTTACCTTCAACATCGACTTCTACTTCATATTCCTACTCTCCTTCCCCTCTCTCACTCCCTCCACACCCTAATTTCTACTCAGATCCTTCCTCCTCCTACCTATTCCAAACCCAGACCCTAATAGGCTTTGAACAGCAACCCGGTTCTGTTATCGGGCTCAACCACCTTAGCCCGTTTCAGGTTTCTCAGATCCAGGCGCAGATGCAGGCTCAGAGCCAGACCTCCCTCTCCCTCAACTTCCTGGGTCCGAAGCCCGTGGCAATGAAGCAAGTGGGTGGACCTCCGAAGCCCACCAAGCTGTACCGCGGGGTGAGGCAGAGGCATTGGGGAAAGTGGGTGGCGGAGATCAGACTCCCCAAAAACCGAACCAGGCTCTGGCTCGGAACCTTCGACACTGCCGAGGAAGCCGCTTTGGCGTACGACAAAGCCGCGTACAGACTCCGAGGCGACTTCGCCAGGCTCAACTTCCCGAACCTGAAGGGCTCTTGCCTCGGCGAGTACAAGCCTCTGCAGTCCGCGGTGGACGCTAAGCTCGACGCCATTTGTCAGAGCCTGGCCGAAATGCCGAAGCAGGGGAAGACGGAGAAGGGTGCCAGGGCATCATCCAAGAAGTCAAAAGCAGCTCGGAATCCGACCAAGGATCCCAACCCGAACCTTGTTTGCAAGGCCGAGCCCGAACTTGAACCCGAAGCCGAACCTGTTCTGTCTCCTGAAAGTGATGGTTCTGTGGATTCTTCTCCGCTATCAGATCTCACCTTTGATGTCAGCGAGCCGCAATGGGAAGATGCTTCTGCGTATTTTAACTTGCAGAAATTTCCTTCTTATGAGATCGATTGGGATTCTCTCTGAACACATGTTTTTTAAATGTTTTGTGGGTAATGATGATAATAATAATTTAGTTTAGTGGTAGGTGGTAGGGGCTACGCTGCAATTTGAATTTTTGAAGATTGCAGTGTTGCATATCTAGGATTTGGATAATTTGGTTTATTTTATTTTTATTTTTTATTTTGGTTTATCGTTGGAACATTGACTGTGAAGTCAATATGTTGTAAATCTCTCTGCCTTGGCCAGCTAGTTTTTTTCTTGCTTGCCAGGGAGAATGACTTAGGTTTTTGTCCATGTTTTGGTGTTCGTCCTACTATGTAATTCAATTCTATTTGCATCTCAATTTATATTAATACATGTGTTGTTTAGTTTATTTTTAATAACTACACTACCTTGTTCATAGTTTCAATCAATCCAGTGATATATGATGGATAATAGAAAAAAGAACCGATACAGAAGTGAGCATCACGATTCAATATTACCAGCTAATAGCATCACGATACAGAAGTTGTAGCTGTGTTTAATTTATGCTTTGAATTTACAATTCCATCCAATATTATTTTCAAGCTCTTCGATTACGAAGATATTTGTTCGCAATTTTCATGGGAAGAATATGAAAATGTATTTTATATAATTAGAGTGTATATAAGCACATGCCAATAATAGCATTTCCCAAAATCCAATTTATAATCAATAATAATTATTTTCAAATGAGACACTAACTCACGCTGGTACTACGCATGTGAATAATGTCCCTTTTGATTTGTGTTGTTAAAGGTGCAAAACACGAACCATATGAATGTGTCGGAATTGTTCAACGCAGATTTTAGGTTCAAAATCAGAAGCCTTTGAAGTTGAAATTCTAATTTAGCTTGGTTTGGTAGCAGTGATGCTTTCCATTTTCGCAAGAGTAATAAATTTTTTCACCAAGTAAATCACAGAATGTGAAGAAATCTTTTGCTTTTCAATAATTCTACGTTTTGAAATTGTGTTGGAAGGGGGAAATTGAACTAAACCCAAAGCAGAGCATGGAATCTGTTGACGTAGCATAAAAACTCACCTTTTTCCAGTTATTCCATTCAGTGAACCTTGGTTGGGAACGGAAGACACAACCTCTCTGTTATCAAAAACTTTGTCCTTATCTTCACAAATCGATACAAAACAAGACGTCTTTCACATGAACCACCATCACATTTCCCCCACAACACAACCGAAGTAAAAGTGTGCTAAAAATTTCTACTTTTTTTCTTTTTAAAAAATTCCTATTGTTCCACCAACATTATAATACTAAGCTACTATAGGAGTGTCAGTAGGATATCTGCATCTCTGAATCTGGTACTTAGGTTAACGAGGTAGTCTTTTCAGTTAAATTATTCTCTTATGTTTAAACCTTAAAAAGGAGTTTGTTTTTTTATTTATTTTATATTTATTTATTTTTTGTATTTTTTTATTTTGAAAGCAACATTGTAAAAGAGCTTACTCATAGGTTGTATTAAGATGCAAACCAAAACAAACAATATAAAGATAATAGAGAGAAATCATAGACTAAAACTTAGTTAATCAGTATCATTGTTCTAAAACAACCTTGATCTAACATCTTTAAATACTCAACTTTCTAAATCCTCCCTACACAAACTAAGACCCTGGCACATGTAGTCATTGAAATGCGCTATTTCATATCTTTGTTATTGTTTGATACTTAGGATTTCATTGTTTAAGAATGTGATACTAACATTTATTTTCTTGACTATGTTTGAACTATTTTTATACCATTCCTTGGTGTGGTAATTCGATTTGAATTCTTCTCTTTTAGACTAAGATAGATACTATATTTTAACATCTTTTACTTGATGTTAATTACAATGTTATGTATATAAGTTTTATAATTTTTAATGATTAATGTTGAATAAATTTTATATTAATATTGATTATGAGATAATTAGCTTGATGGCTGTCTGTACTAATCTAACTAATACGGTCTTAAACAAAAAAGTTACACTCTGAAAAGAAAATTTCTACTTGAACTAGCTGGAAAAACTTGGAACAGTCCTTAACCATCAATTTTTAATTGAGGATAATATTGATGATGACAAGACTATCAACTTGAGTAGGGACAACAACTAATACCAAATGAGATTGAAGCAAAGTTAGGTAAAATAATTCATCATTTGAGAAAAGAACTGAGTGTGATTTTGGAAGTTATTGAAAAATTAAAGTTCCTTGAGAATTTAAAATTCTCAAAAGTTAGAAAGGAGGTGCAAGCATTTCTATAGACGAGAGAAATTTGGCACGAGATAAAACTAATTGCACATCTATATATAGCTCAATAACAAGTTCCTTACAATAATAACAACATATATGTCAAAAATTAAATTTCTTAAAAGGAATTATTTTAAAACCAACGATCTCACCACTAGTACAAAAATATCGTATAACGTTATTGTTTTTTGCTTTTTCACGTCGAATTCGAGGTCGACGTCATATCGGGAGACGTTAAATTGACGTTAAATTTAAAAAAATTGACGTTAATCAAATTGACATCGAATTTTGTTAATATTCGACGTTAAACAATTTTTTTTGTTTTTTTTAATTAATTGTAATCTTTTTTTACAACTCTAGGAGACCTGAAAAGCAGAAAAACAACAAATTTCAATTTTTGGTATTTTATAAAGCATGAACTATGAACCTGTAGTATAGTACCAAAAGCAAACAACAATAACAAACAACAAACAAGTTCAATCAAACAACAACAACAACAACAAACAAGTTCAACCAAATAACAACAACAAACAAGTTCAACCAAATAACAACAACAAACAAGTTCAATAAAAAACAACAACAAAGTTCAAATAATAAGTTCTTCAAAACGAAAACAAAAACGAAAACTAACCTTCAAAAGGTGGGTTCGTCGGAATAAAGTGTTTCCACTAGTAAGAGAAAAAGCAGAATGCGCCTATGAAAGACAAGAACACGAAAATAATCGGTCAAAACAAACGAAAATTATACATAAAATATTAATTAACATGCATTTGTATCAAATGAAAAAAAGATTACATGTGATGGTCGTCAAACTTCGTTCCAGAAAAGTTTGAAAGAGAAGAGGGTCTCGCGCGCTAAGATAAAGTGAATGAATTTTCAACCTCCCGCTCAAATTAAAAAGGGGAAACTTTTGGCTGACAAATAATACGTCGAAGCTCCTACAAAATTCGACATATTATATGTGGTTTAAAAGAAAAAATAAAAAAATAATTAAAAAGGGGTACTTTTTGGCTTCTAGCTAACAAATAATACGTCGAAGCCTTTACAGAATTCAACGTATTATTTGTTGTTTAAAAGAAAAAAGAAAAAAGAATTAAAAAGGGTGACTCCTTAGCTTTTGACTGACAAATATTACGTCGAACCCCTACAGGATTCGACGTACTATTGGTGGTTTAAAAGAAAGAAGAAAGAGAATGATGCACTGGTTTAAATAATTACCATCATATAACGTCGATTGAATGAGGTTTCAACGTTCTATAATTGCATTTATTTACAAAAATGCCACCATTTATTTTTAACGTTGGCTATTCAGTGGTTGGACGTGTGACGTTATACGCTGTTTTTGCACTAGTGCACCGTAAGCAAATAACAATATAATATTAAGTGAGTGCAAAAAAATATTTGTATTGCTAATGTGTTTTGTGAAATTTATTCATATTTCACAAAATATGCTTGTATAATTTTAAGTTCTTATAAAATATTTAAGACTTTTATCCAACAATTGGCTAACAAAATAATTTTCTTTCAAAGTTACGGTCCATTATGAAATATAAATGTAGAGTTAGTGAACTTATTTATGTACCAGGAGTTTTACATCATATTTGATAGACCCGTTTCTATTATAATTTTATTTCTTTTCCTTTTATTTCATCTAACTATTTTCTTTCATCTCACGGCTCTTTCTCTTCTCTTATTTTTCTTTATTGTATAAAATTGGATAAATACGATTGATTATTAACTCATTGTACTTAGTGTTACAAATAAAGAGACTTGTTTCTCAACACCAAAAGGAGGTGAATTGGTGATTTATAAAATCGAACGCTTTTCAAATCTTTTTGCAAAGATAGAATGATCTTTAAACATTCTTGCAATATAAGTAAAACACGTATGCAATGAAATGTAAAGAGATAATGAAAGAGATACAAACAACTGATTTATACAAATTCGTTCTCAATGCCTACATCCAGTTTCCCTTTCAATCAACCTTAGATTGAAGGATCTTTCACTATAGAAATTTGAGTTTTACACCAAAGGTTTTACAGAGCTCCCTCAAATGTAAACACCTTTCCCACCCAACAATCAAATATAGAAAGAAAACACCTGCACACACAGAATCACACGTTCTTGTTGCAGAACCCCTTTAAGAAACACCTCTCAAAGTCCAAGAGCTCATCACTTCTTCCTGTCACGCATGAACAGGGAAACAACACAATCAATGATTGTAGAATACTTTTCTGATCAAAGCAGATGCACCTCAATAGTGCGGATTAAATCAGCCAGTCACATCCACAAAGTTCCTCTCAAGAATCCTTTAAGTTTCTTCAAATTCTTCAAGTCTTGATTCTTGGAGCGTTTAAGCAATCTGTAAAACTTTCTCATATCAAATATATCATATATGAAAATGTACAAATGGGCATTAGTTTTAGAATTGCAAGTAATGTGTCAATTTATAGTTTTCATCATGATAGAAACAAAATAGTCGATTACATTAGTAATGTAATCGGTTACATTAAAATCAGATGTAATAGAATTACAACTAACACAACTCTAATTGAATACACAATTAATGTAATCAATTTACATTTAATAATAGTCAAACATATTTAAAAATATGAACGTTATAGATGTTATGACTAAGATGAAAACAAATTTCAAAAGATAACAGACTTAATTGATTACATAACATGTGTAATCAATTAAGCTAAGTACTTAACCAGATTTTGAAAACTTTTTCTCTTCAAAAACTCATCACAACACATTTGAAAATGGTGTATGCAAAGACATGAGTTTTAATCGATTTGACCCTTAATGTAATCGAATCAAACTTGCTGTTTTGCCACAATTCAAAACATAAGCTGTCTGATGAACTGAATTGATTACAACAATACTATAATCGATTATGTCATGCAGATTTGCTTTTGGGCTTGTGGTTTTCATCACACAAAAACATACAATATGCATACAAAGATATAAACACATCATGATCAGTAGTATCCAGAACCAATAGTATGTCAACATATGCATTAATCAACAATAAGCATGAACATATCCACATATGTATCAATCACAAAAAAACACATTTTTGTTTTGTC